ATATAGATGTCAGTAATGAAGAAAACGCAAAAATATACAAAGAGCAAACATCCACCAAGTCCTTCAAGTTGCATAACTGTTTATGTTTGTTTCCAAAGAAGACTTTAGTTCTTAACAAGCATCCTTTTATCGATTTAAACCATTTAAAGAGAACTTTATCATTTAATTTACCTGTATGAGGAAGATTAGTAGTCCTACCTTTGCCACCCAATCTAAGTTTGCATCGTCTTCATGCAGTAGTAAAGCTGGCACAAGCCACGGGCAACAATATTGCATGAAATGACTTGGTTCAGCATCTGATACAAAAAGTTGGCGCGCCTACAAAAAATAATTACCAAAAGATTAGATGGTATATTGTCATATACAACATCCTTAATAAAAAGTAAAAGGCAGCAAACATGGTAAAGCATAAAACTCACTCAAATATATACCTAAAAATCGTTGATTACATTTTAAAGTCACTTTCCCCTAGAAAATATTTGTAGAAATTTCACAGCTTCTCAACCTCTCATTCAAGAGAACTTCTCATTTGATCAAGACTGGTGCATTGAAGTTGAACCAACAAAATCCATGCTAGAAAAGAACTAACTAAATCTCTTGGTTAATATATCTGTATACATAAACATATAATAGTCCTCTGTTAAAAAACCAGTTGCAACTTGCTTCCACTTTTACTCCTATTCTCCATTTCTTTTGCACCTCCTTTGAGAAGTTTCCATAACAATTTTTTTGACCCATTTCCTTTATGTTTGTTCCCAAAAAAAAAATTGAAAACGAGTTTTAAGAATAATTTGTTCAAAAAACCTAGGAGAAAAGATTGAATTGTCATATGCAGGGGTCACTTTTCGGCATTCCCACACTAAATCTGTTCCGGCGGTCCAACTACATCACATACTAGCTGTTACAGGCACATTAATACCACGCATCATTATGCTCTTCAATTGCTGTGGAGTCCAGCACGGTTGAAATGTGCAGGATGAGCTATTTCTTGTTCTGCAGTGTGTTCACAACTATCATCATAAGAAACTTCTCAGTCTATCTAGTCTCTAAGATTTGCAGTCACTTGTAAGCGAGAAATTTATCATGAGAAACAGTAGTCTCATATCTTCAATATGAAGTAAATCCTTCAACATCGAAGATCTTATTATGCATAAAAGAGAATCCTAATTTGGAATAGTTTTAGCATTAGAAATATCGCCTTATTTATTATTATTATTTGATATCTCCAATTCCTTTAGTTTAGGTATTTTTTAAATTATTAGAAACTTAAACTATTTAGACATATTTTAGTTTACCTCTTCTATTCTTCTAACATTGTACTTATAATTCATAGCTACCGCAAATAAAAAGGTTAGTGGCTATCAGTTAATAACAAAAGGTAGATGATAATAAATTAAAATTTTCTGTCAGGTTTTTCTTCTCTATTATTTCTTTATGTATTTGTTCTTCTGGTTATTTTGCCTAACATTTTCTGTTCAGTCTACTTCTCACTATATTTCTTTTATTGATTCCCAATTTCTTTTGTATTATCTCTCCTTTTTTTTCTCACCTAATTTTCTAAATTTCTTAATTATCTCCTGAACAAGTTAGTTTTCCCACTACTTGTCCTGAATCACCTTACTTATACATGTATCTTCTGACAAGTCAAGAGCTAATGCCTTTGAGCTAATCTTCTTGAAGATGTTGTAAGGACTGATCTTCTTCGAATAAAGTTTCTTGGAACATTCTTTAGAAACCTTTCAGCTTGGATGCGTACTATTACCAAATCTCATTCGCTAAATCAGCAAGCCTTCTTTTTAAGCCAACAAAAGACCTCATTGCTTAAAACAATGTGTCTTCTAACCCTTGGCTTATATGTCACGAACTTTTTAGCAAAAGCTTTTGCTTCAGTGTACAACGAACATCTAAAGGTAAATGAACCAAGTCAACAGGCTTTACTAGTTATATGTCCATAACGAATTCAAAAATTATTGCAACCCACATTTTAGTTTATTGAATTATTATAAGTGAATGTAGCACTGGAAAGAACAAGGTCACAAACTCTAATGTGATCTTGAACACAACAATAAATGGTGTACAATACCTGTACAAAGTGTTCAATATTCTCTACACGGTATCACAAAGGTAGTTTGTGAATTTTACATAGCGATATGAAACAACAAAGAGCACAATCATGTAAACAAACTACTTTTCTAAAGAATAGTTTGGTCAGGTCAGAAGCATCCAAGGATTTTGCATAACGTACAAAGTACATCATCTTAGAAATACTGAATCATGGCTTCTAGTTGTTCTTGGCAAGCCAAGTACGAATTAAATGCTTATATCTTTCCATGCTCCATGGGAAACAGCAAGAGGCATGTACATGCTAGTATCGTCCTGCCGTCAATTTTCTCTTACATTTTCAGATGTCTTAGATGTTGCTTCAGGTCCAGTAAAGTTGTCATTCTTCATGCACTTTGTACTAGGCGCCATCAATTGCTAAAACCCTTGATAAACCTTCCATAGAATGTTCCCGGAGAGCTTTAACTTTTCCTAGATCAACTTCTACTTCCTTTAAATGGATGATAAAATCCTTAAAAAAAACGCAAATTGATTGTCATGAATGCCCATATTTTCACGTTAATATTAAGTTTTTTCCAGACTAAAGACTCCCATAACCTATTGTAAATGAAAGACATGTTCCTTCTTAAATTACCAACAATAAGGATATCAACGAAGTACATGAAAAAAAATCGACCATTAAAAGCTTAGAACGCTTGATTCATGAAATGTGTAAAGGTGTTTAGGGCATTAGGGAGTCCGAATTTAGACCCTTGTTTGTTTTGAATGTCATATTCCACTCATCTGCTAGCATGGATTTGGTGATACCTGCTCTTTAAGTCTATCTTAGAAAAGTATATGGAACTTGCAGTAACTAATATATCATTTTTATTAAAAAGAAGACCTAATATATCATTAGACAAGGGATGATCAACCTATAGTTGATGATAGTGATCTTGATTGCACAACTATCAATACAAATTTGCTAAGTCCCATCTCCTCATATGCTAGTAAGGCAGTGACAACCACGGACCGAAACTTTCTCATATAAAATTATACCAAGCCATCAACTTGTCATTTAAGCTCCATATGTTCATTATGGTTCAAAGAGGCCAATATGTTTGGCAATTGAGATCTAGGAACTAGGTTAATTGTTTGTTGAATGTCATGTAATGGAGGGTGTTTGTACAGCAAATCTTTTTAGTGTAACATAAAAAACATGAACAGTAGCCTGACACTTCCGGTTGTGTTGTCTCTGTTGAATAAGCTACCAGTTCCTTGAACTCCAAATGTACTACCAGAAAAATAACTTTCGGTCATTTGATTTTTGTTTCAAATTACTTTCTTGACAAAGATGGAATTGTTTCTTCCCATCCTGGCCCCTAGTTGCTGTCCTTAGAATCTTTAATATCCTTTGTACTCAAAGTTTGCAAGATATTTTCTCTCCAAACTACAATGTACGCATCGGTTGTATAGCCAAGGCCAATCAAGAAGGATAAATCCTTTGCCATGCTTGACAAGCTGATATGAAAAAATTGATGCAGGTTTCAATTTTCAAATTAAGTTAATGAAGGAAACAGTAACTGGATTCATCTCATACAATTATGTAGCTTCAGAATCTATTTATTGAATAATATCTTAGTAATTATCTACTGGTGTGGGGAGATTATAAAAGATTACATTCTTCACAAGGTAAGTTTTAAGACCATATACATTTTATCATTATATGGATATGGATAGTTTTTTTCAATATAGTTAATATTCTATGGAGGTAGGTTTTTATTATATTTGAAGTCATTTAGTTAGATTCCAATCTTAGTTTTTCTTTTCTTATCCATAGGTATCTTTGTAAAGACATGTACTATTTCTTCAACACAACAAAAATAATATTCCAGTTCACTCTTTTAACAATAACCATAGAAATTATCATTTTTCAACAACAAACTCAAGTAAAGCTGAGGCAATAGGGGGAACCAAACAAACATCTTACCAAATTTGTATACGTTTTTTATTATGATGTACCGTAAGCCTTAATGCAATCCCCACATTACCAAGACCAATTAAGTTAAACAAGAGCAAGAAAGGATAAGATTAGACACCTAAAGTGCCTTTCACAAAGAAAACATAACAAGTACGTTACCTCAACAAGAGCAACTAAGCTAACACCACAAGTAACCCAGTGAAAAAGAATTGGTGCAATGAGTTCCTCCAAGTACTGCATTAGAAAGAAAGTTCAGAAAATTACACTAAATACGACAAATTGCAGACTATAAACTTATATATAATATAGCTCCAAAGTTTATCCACAACATATTTTAAGAATATTTAAAACAATAAAAAAAAGAACTGTTCCTGAATTTCAACATATAAAGAAATTCTCAGAGGTATTTAAGATCTTAGTATCCAAAAACTATCCCCATCACCTTCGACCTTGTTTCATACTGGAGTTCCTTTGACAAGTTATCAACTGCTGCATTGACCAATTCCCTGAAGTAAAAAGGACTTCGGTTGATGGAATTGACAAGTACTAAAAATCACAAAACTAGGTTGAATACCTCTGACAAGGATCAATAGCAGAAATAACACACATGGTAAAAACAGCCTGCATGTTTAACAACAAAATTATAAATACAAATAAATAATATGCATGAAACAAAAAAAAATTATCGAAAACTTGTTCTAAAATTTGACCAACCAAAGTAAGAAGTTACCTCCAACTCTATCCTCTCACCATGCAAAGCAAGATGCATAAGAGTAACAATAACTGTTTCCATCCCATGACGAGGCTGAGGACCAGCAGCTAGGACCTCCTTTGCAGTAACAAGTTTTTCTTTTGAGGAAACCACCAAACGAACACCAAAGTTGGAGCTAGAAATCAATCAACGCATATCAGGAAATGTAGTAATAATAATAATAAATTTCTATCACAGAACTTTATTATTCATATAGACTTTCAGTATCATTGCACTGGAATAACTTGGATATACCTCTTGCACGCTAAAAGTGAAATTTATTTGTGCTTTTTAAGTAATTTCATAGGATGGTTTCGTGAAATTTAGAAAGATATCAAATTTTTTGTCCATCTGGAAGAAGCATGTATAGTATAGCTGTTACAAAGAGAAAAAATTAAAAAAAACTAATTAATGAAAATCAATTCAGATAAAATCTTCATATCACCAGGATTCTCAATCCAGTATATTATGTTCCATATGTCTAGCAAGATTAATTTGTCTTACTTCCCAAAACCTATAGGGAATTATCTTACTTCCCAATACCAATTGAGATACTTTCTCAGTTTTAGCCTGATCAAAAACCAACATATAACCAGACACTTCTTCAGTTTTATCCTTATCTAAACCCAGCAAGCAACATCATCCTAAGAGTCTTTTGGACATACTGCCTCTGTCCATTTTCCTAGACAAAATAAATAAAAGTTATACCCAAGAGTTATTAAATGTATATTTGTCGGTTATTTACCAACTCTAACCGGGTACCAGCTTTTCCATTATCATCCAGCCACCAAAAATTTTCTTCTCTATCAATGTTACTTTTGATAAGAAAATTCCTATCTAATCCTACTCTATCTGCAGGAAGAGTCCCTGCAATCCATTAAAAACAAAGATATAGATTAAATTTGTTTGGCTTCCGACCCATATAGTTGTCCATTACTAGTCCAACCAGAACCCCCTGTTGAATCACCTCAGTCCATGCTAACATCCTCACCCATTTAAATCAAGCCCGTGACTGAGATTAATGAACATCATGATTCAATAAGATTTATGCAAGTATATGCAAGGCGAAGAGAATCAAATTCTGATCATGTCAAGTTTAAAACTTAAGACTTATTATTTCAAAACAAAAACAAAAAAAAAAATCATAGACATAATCCTAACAATAAGATAAATTATAGGAAGTGTTGAGAAGTGTTGAGAAGAATAACAAATTATTATTTGATACCCTTTATTGCACTAACAGAGAGTTACTAGAGACTGAATTCTCTGAATCTGAAATTGTTGTTGCCCTTAAGAGCTGTGATAGCGATAAGGCCCCGGCCGCCCTGATGGTTTCAACCTCAAATTTATGCAAACTTTCTGGTACTTATTGAAAGAGGATATTCTTAATGTTTTCAAAAAGTTTCATCGGGATGGAGAGTTTGTAAAATCTCTAAACTTCGATTTTATTATTCTCATCCATAAAAAGGAAGGAGCTAATTGCTTTAAGGATTTCCGGCCTATTAGCTTAATTAGCAGTATTTATAAGCTTATTTCTAAAGTTTTATCTAGAAAATCATCTCATGTACTTCATTTGATTATTGGGGAGAGCCAACATGCGTTTGTAAAAGGAAAACAAATCTTCAATACTTTCCACTTGGCCTCAAAAACAAAGATCACAGGGATTGAGAACCAATTGTTGAGAACCAGTTGTTGATCTTTTTGACAAAAGAACCTCCCTATCAAATACTTTGGGCTGCCAAGAAAAGAACCTCCCTATCAGATACTTTGGTTTTCCACTTGGCCTCAAATACAAAGATCACAGGGATTGAGAACCAATTGTTGAGAACCAATTGTTGATCTTTTTGATAAAAGATTTGCGACATGAAAACGAGGTTTCCTCTCAAAAGGTGGAAGATTAACTCTCATTAAAAGCACACTCTCTAAACTTCCTTTATATTATCTATCGGTTTTCAAGGTACTGAATCGAGTGGCTAAACAATTAGAGACCATTCAGAATAGCTTCTTTTGGGGTGATTTGGAAAATAATAAAGCATATCATTTGGTCAAATGGAATGAAGTCAAGTTGCCAATGACCATGGGTGGCCTGTATATAAGATCTATTACTAATATCAACAAGCTTTTCACGGTAAATGGATCTGGAGATACTTCAATTATATTAACACTTGTGGAGAAGAATTGTGGATCTCTGAATGAACTTTGACAAAAACGGCAGCCTTATCTTCCCTGATAGATCTCAC